CCCCAGCCCCAGCCCCAGCCCTGTCTGGTTTGGGCAGGAAGAATGGGTGTGGGATACTGGCCCCCATAGAACATAGAAGCGGTAGGAGTGGGGGAAGGGCTAGGAGGGTGCATCCTGGGAGTGTCTCAGGTGGGAAGCCATCGCAGACCTAGCACACACCCTGTGGGTCAGGCCTCCACGGTGGGGGGGGTGGGGGGCTGCCCTTGCCCAGGTGCAGCTCGAGTGGCTTGGCAGTCATGGTGACAGGTGGGGCTCCGAGGGCCAGTCCCTTTGTTTCTAGGCCCTCGATATATTCTGCGTCCAGCAGCAGCCAGTGCCACAGCACAGAACGTGTATGGCCCCCAAATGTGAGTCCATTTGCTGAAGAAAAAAAAAACCCAAACTTGACTGGTCTTTGCCAGCTGGAAAGAACTCCAGCCTCAGCTAGTGTGAGGTGAGGAGGTGTCCCTGGGGACAGCAGCCCAGACAGAGGAAGAGTCCTTAAAACTCATGCTAGCCACCCCCTGGCAGGTCCTGTGCACCCTGGGGTGGTTGATGAGCTGCTGCTGCCCTCTGTGCTACGGCTTCGGCCGAGAGGACCTCGCCCGGGCTGGCAGAGCACTTGGGGCTCGAGACGAGGCTCTGCTAGCTGTCGTCGGTGGGGCCTGATTTTAAAGGTAGAACTTGCTGGCACTGCTGATGAATTAGACTCGGGGTTGAGGGGACCAGCGCGGAGTTAGGAAGGAGGTCTAGGTTTTGTCCTGGGCCTGGTTCCTCTTGGCTGTGTCAGTTGCCCAGACTCCCCTTGACCAACGTCGTGGCGGAGTGCTGGTCTGCCGGTTTGCGGAGCGACCTTTCCACTGGCGATTGGCTGGTGCTCTTCTCCTGCCTGGACTCGGGATATGGTCTTCTGGGAGGAAGGCCATGGGAGGGAAATAGCGTTTTCCCCGTCCATGACTTGCCGCTGTTGCTGTGAAAACGCTCATCCCCTGGCTACGTCATGGTTGTCCACACTGCTCGGAGGCAGGCAGGCACTTACTGGTCCACATCCTGCTCCTCCCCTTGAGGGAGGAGCATCACTCAATTACCTGGCATCCTTCTGCAGGGCGCATTTTACCTGCTTCCCTGTGGCTCCTTGGCACATTTATTTATGTCAGCATGGATTCGTGGGTATTTGTTGGATACTTGGGTGATAATCCAGCTCTTCGCCATTTACTTGGTCACTCACATCTCCCCATTGTTGGCCATGGGCATGCTTTCGGAGGACTCGTGGATTTTGTTCAGACATATTTGAAGAAGTCTTCATCTTCTGCCACGGTGTGGGGCCCTAGGCTCATCCTGTCTGCTTCCTGCCCCGGCCTGCGTTTCCCTCAGGAGCTCCGGTTTCTTTCACTGGAAGATGGTACGGATAAACCAAGCTCTGGTCTCCAGATGCATCCCTTACTGTGCTCCTGATGTGTAGTTGCCTCTGGGCCCTCTCAGCCGACAAGGCAAGGAAACGTATGCACGACTAGTAGTATGTATGTACTAGTAGTCGTCGTCCAAAGTATTCCCTACCAGCAAGTCCACTTGGGCTCATAGAGACCCTCTCTAGGGTGTCCGAGGCTATAAGTCTTTTTTTAAACAGTTTTATTGGTACTTAATCCACATATCAGACAATTCAATCGTTCAATCACATCAAGAATCGTTGCACAATCATTACCACAAGCTGTACGTCTTTACAGGAGCACACAGCCTCACCTGTCTCCCATGAAGCAACTGGTGGACTTGAACCTGTGGTTTGCAGGCCAACGTGTAATCCACGGTGCCACAAGGGCAAGCCATGCATTTGCTAAGCCATGTATATACAGGCATCTGTAAAGATTTGTAGGTGCAGCTATTGACATTAATCTACAATGAGTTCATAGCCCCCAGATTATGGCCCTTAGACACCCTTCCAGCCTGGATCTCAACACCGCGCCCCCCCCACCCCACATCCCCGCCCTGAGATCACCTTTCGGCCAAAAAATAGACAAGTCTGCAAAGGAAACCCTAATACCCGTGAGACAGGTGCTTCTGAGAACAACTAGCCGTGGGAGACCACAATGAGTTTCACACGGTGTCTCCAGCTCTAATCCGTTTCAGATGGCTCATTCTAACCCCTCCCTCTGTCTGTGTCTAACTTCAACAGTGAGAACCCTGGCTCCCACGACCGCCGTCGTTCACTTGATGGTTCCCTCCATGACGCTGCAGACTGCTTTCAGAATGATAACCGTGTGCTTCCACGGTACAGCACCGAGGCACACGTCCTTTGCATTTGCCTTCCAAGCCACTCCTAGAACTTTTAGTTACAACATGACCTTGTAGCCCCCAAAGCCTAAAACATTTACTCTTGTCCCTTTTTTTAAATTTAAATTTTTAAATCATTTTATTGGGGGCTCTTACAAATATAATAGCAATCCATATTTCAGTGAGATCAAGCATTATTGTCTAATTGCTGCCACCATCTTTTTCAGAACATTTTCTTTCTTCTTGAACTCCTTGATAGCAGCTCCCCTTCAGCCCCTCCCTTCCGCACCCTTCTCTCCATATCTTATCCCATCCAATGTATCCGTTCATCTACTGTCCTGTTACTTGTTCTCCCAGACAGGGTTATTCAGCCAACATGGCTATCAGCCCCCCCCCCCCCCAAACCCCAGAGAAGCCTTACTCCATTATTCTTTCTGAAGAGTTTATCTAATTTCAATTTCATGCATCGAACGAACTTTATTGTACAAATGAACACACACAGGTCTAACAAGATTGATGAGGTTAGACCAAGACCATAATAGTAAGGGGAGGAAATATTAAAGATCTAGAGGGTAGTTATGTGTTTTATCCGTGCTGTAGAAATGATGTCCCTCCACGATGTGTAGGTGTTAGCTGGGCCAAGCAGAGTCAGTAAGGGGAAAGGGCTTCTGACGGGATCTCTGTGTGACTGTAGTGACGGCAGAGCCTGGAACAGGCTGGGAGCATGACATATTAAAGACGCAGGTACAGAGAAGAGCACTACGCTCTAAAGCAGCAGTTCTCAATCTGTGGGTCGAGACCTCTTTGGGAGGTCAAATGACCCTTTCACAGGGGTCACCCGATTCATAACAATAGCAAAATGACAGTTCTGAAGTAGCAATGAAAATAATGTCATGGTTGGGGGGCTCACCAACATGAGGAGCTGTATGAAAGGGTCGCGGCATTAGGAAGGTTGAGAACCACTGCTCTAGAGTTTTGCTTGTCTGTAGTCTTTATGGAAGCAAATCACCAGGCCTTTCTTTTGTGGTGTCCCGGGTGTGTTCAACCTGCTACTCATCAGGGGAGTACCCCTACCCCAGCCAACCCCATTGCCACTGAATTCATCCCTTCATAGGGTTTCCCAGACCATAAATCTTTATGGGAACAGACAGCCTCCTCTTTCTCCTACAGAGCGACTGGTGGGTTTGAACCACCGACCTCGGTGGTGTTAGGTTCGTAGTCAAGTGCAAACCGTTTGCTCCAGGCAGGGAGACGAGTAGAGATTTTTGCAGTCATCAGGTGCGATGTCGGTAAGTACATGAGCTAGCCCGGTCACGCTGGGGTTAGAATGCAATGATTTGAGAGGCATTAAGGAGCAAAGCTGAAGGGCCTTGGTGCTTGAGTGGAGGGACTGAACTGTAATTATGTTCATATTTCAAGCAGTTGTCTTTCAGCTTTTCATCTTTAAAGCTTGTTTGTTTTGTCTGGTTCTTGTTAATGCACGGTTGAAAACAATCCATGTTTAGTAATATTCCTCAGAGCAAAATTCTTGAGTGGTGTTTCATGCCTCCCCGGAGCCTTTCTGTACCTCGCGTGCCCAGCCAGTAACTCAGTGTGGCCGCTTCCTGCTGTTCCCTGGGGACAGGTTTGGATTTGGAGGAGCAGATGAACTTCCCTGTCAGGTTCAAGGTGTAAATGTCTTACCCTCAGTGCTGTCTTTGTTGGGCGACCTTGGGTCTTGGGGTTTTCAAGATGAGTTTGTTGGAGCTCACATTCTCAACCCTTCCCTAGAGCCCTTGGACCACAGGCTCCAAGCTGGATTTGCCTCACCACCCTCTTTTCAGGACCAAAAAAATCACTCATTACCCCTCTGGCAATTCAAAGCTACTCTATTGAGCTGAAACCCAGGGCTCAAGTAGAAAGCAAATGTTTTGAGAATGATGAAGGCAACCAATGTACAAATGTGCTTGACACCATGATGTCTGTATGGATTGTGATCAGAGTTGTATGAGCCCCCCATACAACGATTCACAAAGAACCAAGCCAACTCCTCCACTGTAGCCTATAATCCAGGATAAAATTCAGGCGTCTGCTTTCGCAGCTCCTGCCCACAGCCATTCCAGAGCGCCCCCGGGCGGTGGGGTCACCTACTTTGGGAAACACCGCCTGAGCTCCTTCCAACTCGAGATCTCTGACCCTGGCCTGTCTCCTCCTCAGAGCTGAAGGCTCCCTGGCAGTTGATGATAACAGGTTCACTTTCTTATCTTATATTTCCTACCGTGCTGTGGGACTCTCAGAGCACTCACTCCCCATGTCAGCACCCTCGATTCCCACAGTAACTGTGGGAGGAGGGCAGGGCAAGACAGGTTCCTGGGATTAAGAGAGGCCGATGACTCGCTCGGAGCCCAAGGTCAATAAATAGTAGAGCAGGTGATAGAACTTAGGTTTCCATAGTCTTATTTTTTTTTTTTCCTTGAATGCGCTCCCTCTCAATAAAAGGGAGCAGACTGGCTTGAGCCGTCAAGACACCCAGAGGAAATCTCTTTCCCTCTCTGCGCTGTGTGGAGACTGCGCTGTTGCAGCCAGGCACCCGCACAGGGGTGGATCCTGCCTTTCTGGGCTGTCGTTCCCAGCTGTGACTAGAGGCCGAAGTCGATGTGAATCCATTTTCATTTTCCCCTCTTGCTCCTAGGTGGTTCTACCGTTGACAGTTCAGGGCCAAATGGGAAAGGTCTGCTTGGAGAGCAAGGCTCCTGGGCTCAGGAGAAACCCGACGGCGTGTCCACAAGGTAATGCCGCTCCCTCTTCCCCGTGAACCCCTCCACCCTGCTGGAAGCCGGCCTAAGAAATGCCCTTTTGTGAGCACTTCCTGTGCTGCTAGGCACTAGGCAGGGCGCTCTGCCACCAGCTTCCTTGTTGCACCCACCATGGGCGCACACCCTTATCTCTGTTTCACAGCTGAGGTGCAGACGGGGTTAGTAACTTGGCCAAGTCCCCAGAACCGCCCGCCAGGTGGGGGAGCGGGGATTTGAAACTGGCAGTCTCACGCCTCTTCAGAAACGCTGCAGTGTAGAAACACGCGGAGTCCTCCCTCCCGCTCCTTTCGGAGTTCTTCCTGTTTTATTTAGAAGCCCTCATGGCCGCGCAGTCTCGAAAGCGCTTAATCACCAACCAAAAGGGTCTGTGGTTCAAACCCACCCGTCACTCTGCAAAGAAAGATGTAACCCTCTGCTTCGATGAAGGTTGGCAGCTTTGGCAAGCCTCCTGGGCAGTTCTGTGCCCTCTCCGGTGCTGGGAGTTGGAATCAGCAATGGTTTTGGTTCCGCCCCCCCGCCCCCTTAAAATGAGGCCCCTTTCAAAGTCTGTACTCAAGTGCCCCCTACAGGTCCTAGTGAGAATCATCTGGCCAAGGTCAAACCGCTTTCTGACACTGCATTTTCATTAAGCCCTCACACTTCAGTGAATAACCCCAGAACTCTGAGCCGTAGTTACAGCTATTGTTCTCAGTTGACTTCTGAGCATTCTTGGGAAATGTAAATAACGTGTTTACCTGGACTTAATTGCTAAGTACCTGAATGCTACTACATGCTTTATATACCTTAGCCCTTTATTCTTCAACGCGTTTCTCGTGCAGTTGCGTAGTACTCAGCTAGGCAACTATGTGCGGGGCTTCAAAAAATCTACAGCAGAGTGGCTTGAAAAGAGAATGGACCTGTTCCCCATGAACTGTTTGCAGCCCCTCGTTTGTCAACTTGTGCTTTTCACGTTGGCCTTTGAATGATTGTCAGTCAACAGTTTTGTGACCGTTGGCCGTTTGTTCTGCATTATCCCAGCGTAATAGGTGCATGGCAGGCCAGGTTCCACGTGAAAGCACCCGGGGGTGGGGGTGATCATGTGTGGCACTAGCACGCAGACGGCTGTGCGTTCGAACCTCGCTGGGAATCACTGACGATGCTGGGCTCCGTTTCCCAGGTGACAAATGAAGGAAGGAGGTTCGATGAACTTCCAGATCACCTTCTGGTCTAAGGCTCTATGAGTCTATTAGCAGAAGGAAAGAAAAAACAAGCCCTCCAGACAGACGGTACCAACAGAGGGCGCATTCAACAGTGTGCGAGTGCACTTCCTTCCGCACAGAAGAGTGTGGTTTTAGGAAATGCCTTCGGCCGTGGCCTCCTTGAGTGCTTGGCAGCTTCCCAGTCCTGTGTTCTGTCAGGGAGGACTCATGCACGTCTGATCCTCTTACGTGTGTGTTTCTAGGCAGAACAAATCGAAGTCTGAAATCACCGACATGGTTAGCTCCTCCACAATCACCGTAGCAGACAAAGCTCATATTCTGTCGGTGCAGAAGTTTGGGCTGCGAGATACCCTGGTGAAGTCACATCTGGTGCAGAAGGAAGAGGATTATACCTACATCCAGAACTTCAGGTAGCCACATGGGTCTGAGGTCTTTTTCAAAGCCAAGTGACCCATTCAACTCTGACACCGAAGCGCTTCTCCCTGTGCCTGGGATTTGGAAGCAAATCATTCTAGAGACTTCCCTCATTTTCTAAATCGGCTTTTTCCTTTAAGGAAGATTAAAAAAAAAAGACTTTTATTACTAGAGCAGTTCTAGGTCTACAGAAAAATTGAGCAGGTAGTACAGAGAGCTCTCATATACTCATTCCCCTGACAACCCAAGTTTCCCGATGGATGGCTTCTCAAATTAGTGTGGTATGTTGTTGTAATTGATGAAGCATTGATAATTTATAGCTAAAGTCCATAGCTTATATTAGCATTCACTCTTTGTGTTGTACACAAATGTCACGTGTCTCCCTTTCGAGTGTCACCCATGGGCTCCCTCCCCCTGTGGACCCTTCCTTTCCCCCATACAGCCACTTAATCCCTGCTGCTCTCACCCTTTTCCCTTTTCCCGAATGCAATATGTTGGAATCAGACAGCATGTAGCTTTTCCACACGGACCTTCACTTAGCAATATGCATTTCCAATTCCTGTGTTTATTTTTTTCCCAGTCCATAGCTCATTTCTCTATATAGCTGAATAATATTCCATTATACGGATGAGTGTCCAACAGTCTATTTAGTCCCATATTGAGGGACATCTTGATTGCTTCCATGTTTCGGCACTTATGGATACAGTTGCTGTAATATTTGTGTACAGGTTTTTATAGAGACGTACATTTTCAACTCAGTTGAGCCAGTTGCTGGGTTGGATGGTAAGACTCTGTTTAGTTTGATCAGAGACTGCCTTCCGTGGCGCGTCTGTCAGCAGGGAGTGAGAGTTCCCATCGCTCCACATCTCTGGTGCTGTCATGTTCCGGCGTTTAGCCATTTGAATGGGTGCGTCGTGACAGCTCATTATTGCTTTAATCTGAAGTCCCTACTGACGTAGGACGTTTACCATCTTTTCATGTGCCTTTCATGCCTTATTTAGTTAGTTATTTTTCAAGCCCGCGTCTGTCCTGGCTGAGCACTGCTGTGTATGGTAGAGCGGGAGTGACACAATTTGTGAATAGTTACAGAAATATTGGCAGAGAGATGGGGGTACAGAAGAGGGAGTAGGAGCCTGATTTTTATCTATTCCTCTGAGGCTCTTCTATTCCTTTGGTCATTCTGGGCCTTGAAAAAGCTCAGTTAAAATGAAGTTAGCTGGTCTTTTGATCATCTTTTCAGACGGAATTACTGACAATTACACGAACCAAAGTTTTAGGGTTCCCCTTGGTCTTTTTAAATCATTGCCTCGGGACTCTAAGACAAAGTGACTATTTCTAGGGGTGTAAACAATACATTAGGAAACACAGCCTTTTGAACACTGGTGTGGCTTTCCAACGACCAGGACACTTTTTAGTCTTTTGTTTTGGTAGCATACCCAGCGTCAAGCATCATTACATGCATCTTAACTCTCTCCGTCCCACGACTGTTACAAGGCAGAGGGGGTGTCCGTGCGGTGTGTGGGTATTAGCACCAGAGCAGCAAATGCCATGGCTGACTGCCAACCCTCTCTTGGTGCCAGTCATTGGTCTAGGTTAGACAGGGCATTTCTCATATCTTAGAAGTCTACTTAGAGAGACTGGAGCCTGGCCAAATAGGCATATAATGTGGTTTGTTTTTTCCCTCTCTTTTCCCCATCATCTGCCAAGTTCTTCCAAGTCACTGTTTGATTCTCTTTGGTGACAGGTTCTTTGTGGGAACATACAACGTGAATGGACAGTCCCCCAAAGAATGCCTCCAGCCCTGGCTGAGCCATGACCTCCAGGCCCCTGACGTGTACTGTGT